GGACTCATGAAACTATATAAATGTCAGACCTCACAAAAGCTGATTGGTCTCATGTATATCACTGTTAAATGGTGTGTCATTGGGGAAGTTCATACTCAATATATGCCGAGAATGTATTCAATTGGATGGGCAGTTAGGAAGGGCTACTTGTCCTCTTTTACACCTATTAAGTATTTTCTGAAAACATACTAAATGCAAAGTTTCATTCTGTAAAATGACATATGCAAAGGGGTATGTCGAAAGTTCTTGTAGATGGCAAAGAAGAATATTTTGTTCTTCAAGATTGTGAAAGTGACTATGGAAAAATCTGGCAAATTCCCCAGCACGGTGTTTGGGCAATGTGGGGGTTGGGTTTGTGTTTACTTGAATTTGACAGAGCTCATTAATGGCTACTCTTTTTGATATCTGAAGTCCACACATACCAGTATTTTGTAGGTAACTGCAAGTTTTGTAAGTAAATTATCATTAATTTCCTCTCTCTCTCTCTATGCCATCCATCCCCTCAGCCACCAAACATGAGAGATTTTTATGGATTCCTCAATAAGTAAGTCTTGAAAGTCTTATTTTGTGAGGAAAGGTTGTAGATTATAGACTCTGTCCTAATCCTGAGTCGGGAATCATGGCTACTAGCCCATACAGAACCTGAGCTGCCTTCAGCTTGCTCCTTCCCTGCCTTCCTGCTCAACCTGTGTCTGTACACAAGGTTGCTGAGCCTTGATTCTTCAATCACCTTCTGCAGAGTGTGAGTTCTATTGGCTTGAAGCCCTTTGTTTACTGGCAACACCAGGAAGGCTTACACACCACAAGCCATTACCACTTGTGGGGAACAGAGCTGGAGAGACTGGCTGGATGAGAATACCCTAAATGCACTGAAGAGGTGAGGCAAAAAACTTCTGGAAAAGGTGTATGTGTGAATATGAAGTCTAGCTCTTCTTGCAGTTCAAGCAGAACATTTTGGCTCTTTGGACCTCAGCCACTAAGTTGTAAAATGGTAACATTAGATTCCATTAGATGGTCCCTTTAGTCATCACTCTCAGTTATACCTAAGTTGGTTTCCCATCAAGTCATATCGCCACCACTCTGCATGAAGAGAATAAAGGGCCTTGTACAGCTTTCTCTCTGGGTTTCATTTTTAACTAAAGGTTTCCTCCTCTTCTTGCTTTTCAGAGGAAAGAAGAACTGTGACTGGGCAGGGGCAAAAGGAGTCCTCTACTTATTTTCCATGGCCCCCATTACTTCTCAAATTCAGTCCTCTAGCCTAGCTGAGTGTCAGCCCTTGCCATGCCGCCCCTACACACCTCCCCAGGCAGCCTCCCCCTCATTCCTCAGCTTACTTTGCACTCATACTGTCCCCCCTCCTGAGAGTTCTCTCCTTCTTCTTCTTTGTCTATCCAACCCCACTGATCCTTTGAGGACTTCCCTGTTTCCCATCCTCTCCCCTGGACAGCTTCTGTCTCCCCTGACCCCACACAGCACTCATACTCTGTGCTGTTTATTAGGGGACTGACTTACTCTGCCTTGTATTGGAGGGACAAAACATCACTTTAGACATCTTTAAATCTCTTATAGCCTTTGCAGCATGCCTTGGACAGAGGGACTGTCCTGTAAATGTTTTCAGATTGATTTTATAGTAGTGCTCAATAAAATATGGATATTACATATAATAACATGAGATACATATTTGATCTTTATCTTCATTTCCTGACACACAGCTCCTAAAACCCTTAGAATTTCTGGTTATTGTCTGTTGAGGCGATGAGTGTCTGTTGTATACTAATGAGCTGACCTGTAGATGAAGGCTCCTCAGTAGCTTTGGGAAGAGGGCTGGTCACAGGAAAGACCAAGGCATGAGTATTGGGTAGAGACTTTCAGTTCCACCCCTCAACCTTCAGGGAGCTGAGCACCAAAGGCCAGTGATGTGATCAGCCATGCCTATGTCTTGAAGCCTCCACAAAAACCTAAATGGACAGGGTAGGAGAGTTTCCACACAGCTCAGCACACGTTGGTTTCTGGAGGGCGACACTCCCAGAGAGGTCTGGAAGCTCTGTGCCTCTTCCTGTGCTATCCATATGCATTTCTTCTATCCAACTAACTAGCAGACATAAATAAAGGGCTTCCCTGAGTTCTGTGAGCCACGCTAGCAAATCGCTCAAGCGTGAGGTGGGTATTGTGGGAACCAGATCTGCAGGTGGCAGGTCAGAAGTACAAGGTACAACCTGGGGTCTGCAATTGTCAGCTGAAGTATGGGAGAGGTAGAGTCTTAGGGACTGAGCCCTCATCCTGTGGAATCTGATCTATCTCCAGGTAGAAAGTATCAGATTGAACAGAATCGAATTACAGAACACCCAGCTGGTGTTTAGGGAGAGCTTGCAGAATTGATTACTTGGGGTATGGAGAAACAACCCCACACAACAGGTCACAAGTGTCCTGTACTGAGTGACTGTGGGAGCAGTGCCTCTCTGGTTTTGGGACCACCTTTCAAAGAATTTTACATAGCTTAACTCATCAGAAGCTCATGAGAGCATGCAAAGGAAATCTGAGATCATTTTCAATTTTCAGATGGCAAAACAAACTCAGAGGTTTGGTGAGTCAGGTGCTCAATGTAAGACAAGGCTCCTGACTCCAAAGTGTGCTGGAAGGAACCTACAGATTCAATGCTATCCCCATCAAAATTCCAGTGCCACTTTTTCAGAGAAATAGAAAAATGAATCCTAAAATTCATTTGTAAGCACAAATACCTGGAACAGCCAAAGCAAAAAGACTGTGTGCTGGCAGTATCACAGTACCTGACTTCAAATTGCACTACAGAGCCATAGTAACAAAACCCAGCATGGTACTAGCACAAAAACAGACATGCAGCTCAATGGAATAGAACAGAAGATCCAGAAATAAGCCCACACATGTATGGCAATCTGGTTTTTGACAAAGGTACCAAAAACCTACATTGGAGAAAAGACAGCCTCTTCAACAAATGCTGTTGGGAAAACTGAATATTCACACATAGAAGACTGAAACTAGACCCCTATCGCTCACACTGTACAAAATCAACTCTAAATGATCAAAGATCTTTATATAAGACCTGAAACTTTGAAACTGCTAGGGGAAAACCATTGTAGATATAGGCATAGATAAAGCTTTTCTAAATAAAACTCCAATTGCTCAGGAAAAATGAGTAAGAATTGACAAGTGGGATTGCATCAAGTTGAAAAGCTTCTGCACAGCAAAGGAAACAATTACAAAAATCAAAAGAAACCTATAGAATGGGAGAGAATCTTTGCCAGTTATTCATCGGCTAAAGGATTAATATCCAGAATATAATAAAAAGCTCAACAATGAACTACCAAAGAACAAAGACTTCAATTAACAAATGAGCAAATGAATTGAATGATTTTTAAAAGAAGTACAGATTGCTAATAAATACCTGAAGAAATGTTCAACATCCTTATCCACAAATGCAAATAAAACAACATTGAGATTCCATCTCACCATAGCTGGAATGGCTACAATCAAGAAAACAAAGAACAACAAATGCTGGCACGGATGCAGAAACAAGGAGCCCTCATACACTTTTGGCAGGAATTTAAATTATGCGGCTACTATGGAAATCAATATGGAGGTTTCTTAAAGAACTAAAAATAGAACTATATATGATCCTGCTATACCACTTCTGGGCATATATCTGAAGGAACACAAGTCAACATACAGTAGAGATTCCTGTACACCCATGTTTATAACAGCACTAGTCACAATAGTCAAACCATGGAATCAATGAATGGATTTTTAAAAATTTGAAGCACATACACAATGCATTTAGCCATAAGGAAGAGTGAAATTATGTCACTTTCAGGAAAATGGATCAAACTGGAGATCATTATATTAAGTGAAAGAAGCCAGCATGAAAAAGACCAATATCACATGTTCTCTCTCATATGTGGAATTTAGTCCTTAAAAATGAATGATGGGAATTTAAAACAGGACAAAAAGAGGGTGGATACTGTCAAAGTACTTTATACACATCTGTGAAAATAGAATAATGAAACCTGTTAAACTATTTTTAAAAGGGGGGAAAGGAGGATGAGAACAAGTAAGAAGGGGATGAAATTGATCAAAGTACACTGTACATTTGTATGAAAATATCATAATCAAACCCTTTTGCACAACTAATATTGCTAATAAAAATGTAAATAAAAGAGTTTGAGCCTTGGAGTCTGATAGCCAGAATGAGCTTAACCACGTAAGCAACCAAGGACCCTTCCTTGGAGCCTCAATTTACTCATCCATAAAATGGGCAGAATGTAATAGAGCCTACCTTCCAGGGTGGTTGTATTGTATGATGTCATGCAGATGGTTAATGCTAAATATTCTATATTATTAAAATATTATTACCACTACCTTGATGACATCAAATTGGCTCCCTAGAAACAAACGTTTTTAAAGTGCCAGTGCCTAGCACAGAGTTGATACTCAGCAAATATTGTTTCCCTTCTTTAAATATTTGTGTTCTATCCCTGATTATTTCCTGAGTAAGTTTTCCAGTTGTAATCTGGCCTTTGTCCTAGTGGATTATACTGCTCCCATCCCCCTGCTCTCCCTGTCCTTCTTGGCTGACCAGCAGAGCCAGGCATCCTGTGGGAGACAGCAGCCAATTCTGGGCGGTACAATGAGAAAATGGGTGCTTGCTTCCGGATGGACGTTGGACAGGCTACCCATTATTTAATAAATCAGCTGGAGAAAATCCCAGGCTGGTGGCGAGCTGGAGGGCTTGTGAGGCAGACAAAGAAGGGCAGTATTGGACGAAATAGCCACCAGGGGCTTGGCAGAGACGCAGCTCCATGGAGCTTACAAGATAAGGTCACCTTTCCTTTCCTCCTGGGGAGACGCAGTTGTATGGGCCAATGGAGAGTAAGATTAGAGGGAATGCCCTTAATAAATTCCCCAATGGGAAGCAGTTTTGCTTTGCCTCTGAATCTCAGGGCACTAGACTAGCCAGTCACTGGAAAACAAGAGTTGGTGCCAGAGCCTTCAGCGGAGACGAAGGCAGCCTTCTCAGAGACAGGTACTTGAATCCTCCTGCCCTTGACTCCGGGATCATTCAATCTGCACTCTAGAAGTTTGTCTGGTGGAATCAGGACAGGGATTGACAGGTCCCTGTGTCAGGACACCCTCTGCCCTATTGGCTTGCTCCTTCCCCCTCTGACAGCTGGTTATTCTTAGCCATAGCTGACTTCCCCTCTCAAATTAATTTGAGAGTTGCTGGGCAGGGGAAGCTGATGCAAAACCATGAGGTAAAGGTATGGTGGCTGTCTTCTACCTCCAGGAAACACGCGGAGGACCTGGGCCTTCATCACTGGACCACCCAGGGCCCTGGGACCTTCCCTTGTCTTCCCTCTGCCCCAGCAGCAGTCCCTCAGCCCACCCGCCCACTAGATTAACTGCTTAAAGGCCCACAGAGCGGAGACCTTCAGAGCCAAAAGAGGTCGCAGAGACCACTGACAGGCAGGCCACATGATGTTTGCCCTGCCCACAGCCCCTCCTGAGCAAAGGTCTCTCTGTGTGCGGTGGCCATGGCTTGTACCATGTGACCCGAGGCCTTCACATTACTCTTTGCATGGAGACGGGTGAGTGTGCCAAGAGCAGATTTGCAGGCTGACTTAGCACAATCAACTGGCCTGGTGCTAGAACTTTACCCAAAGGGTGGCATTGGTCAACTGGAACAATTTTCTCTCTGTGGAGTCTGAGCCTGAGCCAGACAGAGAGCAGGAGCAGTCATGCAAGATGAACAGGAAGCCAAGGCAGGCAGGGAGGCTGACGGGGCTGCAGGGTGCCATGGAATCCTGCTGCCCAGGGTGAGGGCTGGGGGCCGGGGGGCAAAGAGAGGGGGCAGCACTGATGGCTCAGCCAAGCCCGGCCTGGGTCTCTCGTATTGTCCACCTAAAGGCACTAATAAGAATTCATTTGATCTGTTTTACAGATGGGAGAGTTGAGGCTAGGAGACCATGGGCCACTCTCCAGGTTACAGACTCAGCCTGTGACTGAGTCCAGCTAGGAGCCCAGGGTTCCTTGTCTTGAAAACATGCTATCCAACATGGGCTGTTGAGACCCAGAGCCCATGGGCCCGGTTGGAGTAGGGGGAGGAGGCAGTGGCAGAAGCAGGGAAGGTGGGAGTGGAGAGTTGGTTTGTAGGGAGAGTGTAGGAAGAGAGATGATGAGTTTAGTTTCTCAAATCTGTGATTTTGTTATTATTCCAAGCAAGTGTGTACAGAGCCAGAATTGAGTTCTAAGTTGCTCAGGCCCTTGCCTTCTCCTGACTGCTCCCCAGAGCAATGGCCACAGCTCTGCTGCGGTCCCAGCCTTGCTTACCTCACCAACACTCCCCCAAAACTGTGCCCAAGAGGACCATGATTCAGGAAAGAGCAGAATGAGTCGAAAACATCTCCCAAATGCAGACTGACTTACTGAAGACCTACTGTGTGCTAAAGGTGAATCCAGGCTGAGTTTGTGCTAGCATCTAAATGCCCATGGAAACCTCGTTGCCCGTTCCCTGTTACTTAATGGGAAGAGAGTTTAAAGAATGCTTGCTTTATCCCACCAGGACCACCAGCAGGAAGTCCTATTCTGAGGGGCTGCCAGCCTAAGGAAAGAACCATCAGGTCGAACTTCGGATAGATAGAAGGATCCCTAAAACAAGGCGTATAGCCCACGTTTCCTTCCTCACAGGCCCATGGACACGGTACGGGTTGCAGTTGTCGGAGCAGGCGTGATAGGGCTTGCCACCGCCATGTGCATTTCCCAGCAGGTCCCCCGATGCTCTGTTACTGTCATCTCAGACAAGTTTACTCCTGACACCACCAGTGATGTGGCAGCTGGAATACTTATTCCTCATGCTTATCAAGGTGAGAGAAGGATTTCAGCTATTCGGTCAGATATGATTGATGTTAGGTAGAGCAAAATAGGGAATCTTTCACCAGGAAGGCTGGCTGTGTGCATGTGCAATGTACAGCTTTGATCCCATTGGTGGGACTGTCACTTTGAATCCTCTGCACCTGTGCATGCTGATAAATCAGCTCACTTGAGTCTTTCCTCCTGCTTTAAACACTGTCCAGGAAGTGAACTTGCAACACTTCTCAAGACAGTTCATTGGCAGAGCTAGTCATATGCCTCCACCCCTCAGCAGGAGACCAGGAATTACATTCTATAGGGTTCCCAGAAGATGGGCAGCAAGAGAACACAATGACTAGCACTAACAGCTGTTGACTTCACATCTTTCCACTGGTACCAACTTGGAGACTACTCGGGAGGGAACTGAAATTCTAACTTTTAAGTCAGTATAAAAACAACCAGTCAATATGTATTTGGGCCTGAAGATGCATTCATTTTTTTAATGTGTCCATGCATTTGGTACTCTTCATGTGAAATGCAATTTTCATTAAATGGAAATCCAAATTATTTTGTAGCAATGAGGTTCATACTCGCTGTTTCTTCTTCCTCATTTCCATTCTTTTCTCCCTTTAAATCAAAGTTTAGCATGTACATAGCTTAAATAATCAAATAGTTTACAAGACTGATTACAAAAGCCTGCAACTTGGAATATGAAAATTGCCCTGCCCTGTTAACCTGGAGGCAGTCTGTGAGTTACTTCCTCCCTTCTAATGTCTCCACCTCTTTTTCTGGAATTGTTATTATTTGGGGCCTCGAATAATAACATATTAGAGAGTCAATCTGTTTTTATTTCTCTCTTTTAATTTTGCTTACTTTCTGAAAGAGTTTCTCAATTTTATCTTCTTCCTTGCTATTGAATTTTTATTTCCACTGCAACATTATTTAATATTCCAAAGCTCTGTTTTCCCCTGAATTTTCCTGTGTCACAGCGTCATCCTATTTGTGATGTATGGTTGCAATATCTTTTCTTATCTTTCTGTAGGTACTAACAGTAGTTTTTAAAGTTTTTCTCCCTGCATAGCTCCTGTTGTCTACAAGTTACATTTTTTTTTTTTTGGTTTGATGCTTTCATTTTTCATGATCCAGGTCTTCCTTGGCCTTGTGGGAGTCTTGACCTGTTGGCTAATATTTCTGGGTAGGACCCAAATTTCTCACTGCTTGCATGGGGCTTGCTGCCTGTGAATCTGGCTGGAGTGAGACAGCAGGGCCGTTTAGTGGGGAAGCTCTGATCTCATTATGTTTTAGTCATTCTTCTTGGGTAGGCCACTTCTGCAGAGAAAAAGCTTCCAGTTTTCTGCCTCCCCTGGGGAGGGTGAAAGCCTGGATGCCACATTCTAGAAGGTGAGGGGAGAAGAGGCTAGCCTTAGATCCAGTTTTCATGAGTTCCCTTACCCCTCATGTTTTCAGCCTGATAGCCCTGCTTTTGCCTTGCTTGGTGTTTCCCATCTTAGACACCCTGCTTCACCTAGCAGAGAGTCAACCCTATTTTGTTTTTTGCCAGGGTGGAGAGGGCGGTAGCTTTGGTGCTGTAGGCCAAGAACTTGGCTGTGTCATGCCCCTGGGGCCTACCCCTCAAGAGACAAATACTGGTGTATTTGCTTGATACTGGATCACTCTAAGTGCCTTTCTTGTGACCAGAGTTCTTGTGTTTGTTTGCTAGTATTGCCTTGCTTGCTCCAGCCTGAGTGAGTGGTCCAAAGGCTGCCTGGAGTCATGGAATCATCTTCAAAGGAAGAGGCTGAGTGTTCCTCGGACCATGGAGGCTTGAGCTCTCTTTTGGCTATGAGGCTGGGTCTTCTGGACCATCTCTCTGATGCTGTGAGATAAAGACTTTGTTCTTCCCCTTCAGCTTCTTCCCTAGACACAATTCAGACCAGCCCCAGTGATAAATATCTCCTTTTACAAATGTCAATATCATATGGGAACCATACCTGTTCCATGGGGTTGTTATGAGGACCAAATGATTTGACATATGCAAAACATTTAGAGTATGCCCAGCACATCGTCAGCCCCATATCAGCATTTACTATTATTCTTGACACTTCAGCTACAGTTCTGACTAGCACTTGAATGTGAATTAGGTCACCAGGCTTGCTCAATCCACTGTTGAATTGGAATTGTCTGCTCTTTTGGGATGACTTCTGCTGCATGTGAATTTCAGCCAGTGTTTTGTTTCTAAGGTTCAGAGTGGCCTTCCACACTGATGTAGATCATTGGGGTACAACCCATTTGAGATCTAACATAGTTCTCTCTTCAACTAATTATTTATTTCTTCCTTATTTCTAAATCAGCATCTCCTATCTGCAATTTTGGAATACAATGTTGAGTTCACATGGGCATGCATTTAATGATGACAGTGTTGACCCAGTATTAAAGAAATATTTATTGTTTCTATAGCAAGTGAATTATTTTAAAACCCTAATATGTGGGTTGTCTCCAAGGGTCTTCCCATCTATTTGATGAGTTACAGGACACTTTTCCAAGTGGATCTTCACAGAGTTCTTTTTGGCTCAATTCCCTTGGGTCGCCTATGGGTATTGGTAGCATCCCCTCGGGGTTACTGTTCCCCAGGCTCTGGTTGCTCCCTCAAGACCCTTTCACAAGATGAGATGGTCAAATAAATGCTTCACCCACAGCTGGATCTGTTCTGACTCTGCATTGTGCTCCTCTCTGTGCTTGCACTGGACACTATTATTTGGGGATCAAACCATACCTCTTGTTTCCTTCCTAACAGACTTGTCACCATCCCAGAAGCTTGGGCCAGGTTCAATCCCTTGTGCTCTTGCTGGAATGTCTGAAGGATGGTGTGATCCTCACATCCTCAGCTGACCCTGGTCCATGATTACATGGTGTGTGGGTTAACTGCAGCCTGGCAGGGAAATCTGGCCTGTAGAGCTGGCATGCATAAGGCAGGCCTTGTTTCCTTCTATCAGGAGGGTAATCCACCTGTGTTTTCCAAAGTCGTGCAGTCTGTTTTCTGTCCTGGTTGACCTGGTCTTGCAGACCCATTGATTTTCAGCTCCCTTAGTTCTTCTTCCCATTGTCTCAACTACATCACCAGTTGGTGATGAACTCATTTCTGGTCAGGCTGGCTATGGACCCTTCAAGGACCTTGAGAATATGCCTGTGCAAAACCAGCTGGCTCTCACATCAGGCTTTGCCCTTCTTGGCTTGTTTCCTGTCCATCCATTGATCATCACCTGAGCAGGCCTGGTGGACAGCATGTGTCACCATTGAAATCTCTGCTCGCTGATGCATCTGCCACCTCCATGGAGTTCTTCATCTAAATGCCTCCTTTCTTTTTCTCAGTTTCTAAGAAGGAGCTTATCAGAAGCATAGTCATTATTTTGTTTTTTGTCTGCTTTGCTTTTCTCTGTGGCTACAGACATACCTGTTCAAACACAGAAGCAGTGGTTTAGAGAGACCTTCGATCACCTGTCTGCAATCGCCAGGTCTCCAGAAGCTGTAGATGCAGGTGTTCACCTGGTGTCTGGGTAAGAGAAATTATTTAAGAATTTAGAACAATCTGGACTGACATCACAGGTCAACGTAAAATATTCATTATCTGCTGTGAGCAGAGTACAGAATGAGATGTGGAAGAATTTAGAAAGAACATTTTAGACTTTAGAGAATGTGAGAAAGACAAGGTACAGGATTATATTTTCTAACAGTATATGACCATTTTGGTTTCTAATTATAAATAGCTTTTGAGTTTCTTTGGTGACTATGCAGGTATACACTGAGTGTGGGGCTGATGGACGCACACTGGTGTGACATTGGAATGAATGCAGACACCAAAGGCAGAGGGACATCTTATTTCTTTGGAGCCCTTGGAGAATGAGGTGTTCCAAATAAGTAAATTTTTTAGGTCACTATAGTTGACCTTTTTGTCTTTGTTTTTTTTGTTGTTGTTTTCTTGCGGTGCTGGGAATTGAACCCAGGGCCTTGCACAGGCTAGTCAAGTGCTCTGCCACTGAGCCACATCCCCAGCTCAAAAGTTGACTTTTGAAATGCCATTTGGAAAAAGAAAAGCATTTCTGAAGTGATTAGCTTCTACTGACTTTTAATATCTGACTTTAGGAGACATGCATAATTAAATGAAAATTTGAAAATAAATTTTATTTAACATTTCTAACACAAACTAGCACTGAAAATATGACAGTGCATTTCTATGTCTTTTTAAACAGAAATCCTAAGCATCCTATCACTGTTTAAAATTCATTCTGTCATTTTTACTTTAAGTCTCAGTGTCATCATCATGTGATGTAAGACATGTCACCTGTGTTACCTGTGTAACACTCCTGCCCCTACAGCCTTTTGAAGAGCAGAGGGGTGTTTGCTTCTTACCAAGTATTCAAGACCACTACATCTTTGCACCACTTAAAGATTTCCCATCTCCTCTTCTGATGTTAGGCTTCCCACAGACCTTTGCTGCTGGTTACACACCTGCAACAGGAGGAGGATTTCTACCCTTTTCCTCATCTTGCCCTCCCTCACCATTAAAAACACCAAGGTGAGGGTGACATTACTGATTTTTTGAAGACCCTACCCAAAGAGGCAGTTTTTGCTTCTCTGTCAAGGTATGGCTTGATCCGTCTCTATTCTAGAGAATATTGTTTCTCTCCAGAACCAGTTGATGAATCACATAAGAAAATTGCTCTCATTCAGTTATGGTTATATTTTATTTTCTCAAAACCAATATGAACCAGTCTAATTCACAGACTTTGGCTCTAAGTAAGTTGTGGAAATAATTATGACCAAAATTCCTGTCTTTTCAAAAGCAAGGCTTTACAAGTATCATTTGCATCTTTGGTATAAGTAGATAGCCTTATTCACCTATTTCTTTCTTCCAAGCAATCAGTATTCACCAGTACCAGGCACTCTTCTAGGTAGTAGGGATATAGCAATGAGCAATTCAGTATATAGCAGATGCTTAATAAATTTGTGTTAAGTGATTTTTTACGGAAGATGGACACAGTCCTGTCCTCAAGTAGCCTATGGCTTGTGGAGACTACAGTAAATCTAATGAGTTAGAAATTGGACATGATACTGAAAGGAGGAATACAGAGTGCTATAGAAGTTAATTCTGGAGAACTTTGGTCTAGGGAGTTATCAGAAGCTATGTAGAAAAAGTCTTTCATCTGAGTCCCTCAGGACAAATGTCAGTGGTGATGTTGTGGAGGTAAAGGAGACAGAGACAGGGTAGGAGACAGCATTCCAGGTAGCAGGAACAGCACGGACACAGAACACATACGTCTCAGGCCACTGTGGTGTGTTGGAGCATTGGGACACCATTGAGGGGTTTCGCACCGTGAGGTTACTGATTGTTTTTTATTGCAAAGATATTTTATCTGTAGTGTGGAGGACAGGCTGGTAGGAAGAGAGATGATGGTAGGATAGATTAGGTATTGATAGGAGGAACAGACATGCTTAAGAAGAGGTTTGACAGGATTTGACAGTTGATGGCTTGCGGGGGATTAGGTATCTAGCATTAGCACCTGTGTGGATTGGTACCACTTAGTGAGTTGGGCTAACACTGGGGAAAGACTTACTTCTGAGTGTTTAGCCTATAGAAGGCGGTGAAGCTACGGAAGAGGGAGTGTGTGCAGGATGAGACAGGAAGAGGACCAGTGTAGAGCCATGCATTTATGTCTTCCCAGATACTACTTTGAGTGAATTATTTAGAGACAGAAATTCTGGAATGTTAATGGTGACATCATTAGCACTCAGACTCACTCTTTGCTATTTTAGAGCAATGATGGTTGCTGTTGCTGATGGAAACCACCCAATACTTATAAATCTAAATGTGTGTAGTGGGCAGTTATTACAGGTTTCCTGTTAACCACCCAAGCCATCCAAGGTTCATCCACTCCAGCAGCAGGGCTCCTCTGGACAGCTCTTGGCTTCTCTCTAGTCCTAGAGAAAGCTTGCTGACCTACCACTTGGCCCCTACTTTGCACACTCATTTACAGTATGCAGGAAGCAGGAGTGAAAATTATTTCAGTTTAGGCATCTTGTTCAAAATCCAGGCTAACTTTAAAACTTTTGACATTTTGCTTACAAGTTATGTAAAGTGTTGTAAGCCAGAAAAACCTTTCTTCTAAAATACGTTGTCATAAGTAAATAAAGAAAACCTGGACAAAATCATTTTAGAAAAAGTAAATTAATTTTAATCTTTAAAAAGGTGTATTTGCTTCATTTTATTTAATTATTTTTGTGCTGGGGATTAAACCTAAGACCTCACAAATGCTAAGCATGTGCCCTGACACAACTAACCCCCTAGTCTGGTGTGTTACTCTTAAAATGTATTTTTTTTGGCAGTTCTGGGATTTGAATTCATGGCCTCACACTTGCAAGGCAGGTGCTCTACCACTTGAGCCACTCCACCAGCCCTTTTTTGTATTGGGTATTTTTGAGATAGGGTCTCGAGAACTATTTGCCTGGACTGGCTTTGAACCCTGATTCTCCTGATCTCTGCCTCTGGGTAGCTAGGCTTATATGCATAAGCCACGAGTGTCTAGCTTCTTAAAATGTCTTATTCCTCCAATCACCAATATTTGAAATCTAATACTAAGTTATCTGAACCCAAGAGAATGGGAGAATATAGATCTTTTTCTCTTTGTGCTTATTGGATGTGAATATTTTTAGTGCCTTAGGGACTGTTACATAGACTTTATTAGAAATATATGATCTCAAAAAAAAAAAAAAGAAATATATGATCTCAAAAAATTTCAGGGAAATTCTCCACTTCTATGTTTGAGTTGGCAGATATTTCAGAGTGTTCCTACCAGAGAAGTGCCAGTCTGGGCTGATGTGGTTCTGGGATTTCGAAGATGACAGAAGCTGAGCTGAAGAGATTCCCTCAACATGTGTTTGGCCAGGCTTTCACAACCCTGAAGTGTGAAACTTCTGCCTACCTGTCCTGGTTGGAGAACAGGTGTGTTGCAATGACTCTGTGCTGCTTCCTTTATCTGTCCTAGTCATAAATAACTGTGTAACTTCATAAAACACATGCTATGAATTCCCTGGGGCCCCTCACAGCTTTGCTCTTTGTAAAGCACAAATGACTTTGTGAAACAATCTGGAGGACTAAGTGCACACCCGGCAAGTGGTAACCTATTTTGTGTCTGTTTTCAGTGTGTACCACTATGGCCTTCTGTCCCCTATACCCAGGTAAAATCCACTTTTTGAAATAGTACTTCAGTTTCTTCAGCTGTAAAATGGAGAAGTTTGGAGAATACACTTCTGGCTAGAAAGTGCCATGATTTACTTGAGATTTTTGGATGAGAAAATCTTATGCTAAGCATAAATTGTGTTTGCTTTTGCCCCTCTCATTCCCAGTAAAAAAAAAAAAATGGCTTTGTTATTTTCTTTCATCATGAATAAGAATACTAACATTGAGAACTCATCCAAATTTTATAATTCCTTCCTTCCTAAGCTCAGCCGTTAATACTTGAACTTGCATTTGGCTTGGTTTCTGGGACTTCCTTTTCCTAGTTAGAATACACATCAAGAGTACTTTTATTTGAGACAGATGGGTCTCAAATAAGTCTCTTGCTCGTTTAGTCTGGACACTATTGGAAGTGGAGGGTTGTGAATTTTCAAATCTGTGTATAGGTTGAAATGCTTGGGACCAGAAGTGTTTTGAACTTGGGATTTTTTTTTTTTTTCCGGATTTGGGGTATTTGCATGTACACAACAGAAGCCTAGCTGGTCACAGAGCCAACATCAAGGAGGAAGAGGACCATTGTCCCCTTTCCTCCAGTGGAAGGCTGCGAGGGGCAGGGACTCTGTTCAGCCCAGAGCCAGCCTTTCAGTGTGATCCAGCCTGGTGGGAGGCAGGGCAGTGTGGCAGTGAGAGGACAGGACACCTGGAGCTCACTCTGTGGGTTGCAGCCACATGCCTACCCCCTGCCCGCCCCCCTGCAGCCCCAGATGGGCAGTCACACAATCCCTGCCTGTTCCTCACTCAGGGTCCGTTCTGTTGTCGCCTACGCCTCTCCACACAATGTGAGTGTTCAGCCTTCGTGCTCCGACTCAAAAATGAGCATTTTGCTCAGCAAGCATTGGCTTTAGCCTCAGCACTCTTCTTCTGAAATTATATCAGCTCCCAGAAAAAAATATATTTTATTACAACTTGGGTCTTTGGTATTTTATAAAGAACAATGCCCTATAACATCCAGAACAAACCACCCAACAACGAAGACCTGAGAAGTTGAATCTCTCTTGCAGGTCATATTATTGTACCTTTAGACAGCAGAGTCACATTCCGATGCTTTTCTACTTGCGCCTTCAAGAAATAAATCAGAGAGGCTGCAGGGCAGCCTACCTGAATAAATTATCCTGGAGGGATCAGAGTTGTCCTCCCTTTGATGACCTCCAGGAAGCTGGGGGCCTATGACTTAGGTGCCTTGATTTCTTCCCAGGAGACCAGGCCATATCCCATGACCCTGAAGAGACCAGGCAGTGGTGACCACATGACGCACACACTCCCTGAGCTCTCCTTCCCCTCTCGGATACGTCTCTCTCTCTCTCTTGCTTTCTCTGGGAGGACCCTCCACCTCCCATCTTTTTCCTCTTCTATACCTTGAGTTCTCCCACCTACCCTGACTCCTGTGACTTCCTCAGCAGCGGTACAGAAATACGTACTGGCATTGCTCAGCAACAATGGGACAGGTTGTCCTAGCCTTACATGGGAACTTGCAAAGGTCTCCTCTTATTCAACATACCCCAGGCCTGCTAGAGCACATCCTTCCTTCCCAAGTGGCCCTGGGCACTTCCTTCCCCTTACCCAACTCCCTAGTCAGAGGACCAGGAGGTAAAAGGCCCCAGACAGAGTTGAATGGGATTCCTTTCTTTTTCTTCCTGATTAGGCAAGGGTGGAGTGAGAGAGCACTGTCCAAAAAGGTGGAAAAGTGAGTGGGGTTTTTTTTAATAAAGGCAATAAGATTCATAGGGAACAGATGGAAGCGGTGTGGGGTGCGGTGACATTGGGGACTCCCATCAGAGGTGAATTCCCTCCCTACATCCTACCCGCTCGATGGACTTAGGGTACATGGCTGCTTCCATCTAGAAGCCCTGGCTTGGAGAAACCCCCAGAGCCTCATCCACCCCCTCCCTGAAGTGGCCACATGCTGCTCCACCCTTGATGGGACTTGGAGTGGTTAATCTAAGCCCACAGAGTAGACCAGGCTGGCATGGACACTCAGAGAAGTGGGAAGTAGGATACAGGTTTTTTGTTTTTTTTTTTGGTGTACACATTGCATGGGAACAATGAAGACCATGGTGAGCAGATGAGATAACACTGTCAGGTCAAAAATTAGACTCAGTACATTTAGTTACTTTGTAAACCTAAATCTGTTTTAAAATTCTAACTATATTAAGTGTTGCCATGAAGACACAGTGTTTTTTCTGTGTAAGTCTGTATGCACAGTAGTTGCCAACTGAGATTTTAAATTAGTTTTCTTTATTTTATTTCATTTTTTTGGTATTTGAACAAATAGGCTGGAGAAAGTTGGCTTTCTGTTCACTGTTAATAAGGCATTATTCTTCAGGATGAAAGCAAGGACTCATTTTTAAAATTGACTAACAACAGCACATACTCGACACATCTCAATACTGCTATGTCTAATACAGTCTTTTTTTTTTTAGCCTGCGTATTCATGTTTATTGCAGCTTTGTTCATCACAGCTAAACTGCGGAATAAACTAAAGACTTTCTTTTTCAATTATTGTTATTGTTGTGCCAGGGATACATTGTGACATTTACAAAAGTTTTTATATCATAGTTGAATTCCCCCCTCCACCATTCTCCTTTATCCCTCCTCCCCCATTCCTAGAATAGTTTCAACAGGTCTCATTTTTCCATTTTCATATGTGTCTACACAGTATTTGCCCCATATTCACCTTCTTGTACCCTTTCTTTTCTTTTTATTTTTTTTATTATTCATATGTGCATACAATGCTTGGGTCATTTCTCTCCCAGCCCCCATCCCCTCCCTTACCACCCCCGCCGCCTCCCTCTCCCCCCCACCCCCTCAATATCCGGCAGAAACTATTTTGCCCTTATCTCTAATTTTGTTGAAGAGAGAGTATAAGCAATAATAGGAAGGACCAAGGGTTTTTACTGGCTGAGATAAGGATAGCTATACAGGGAGTTGACTCGCATTGATTTCCTGTGCGTGGGTGTTACCTTCTAGGTTAATTCTTTTTGATCTAACCTTTTCTCTAGTTCCTGGTCCCCTTCTCCTGTTGGCCTCAGTTGCTTTTAAGGTATCTGCTTTAGTTTCTCTGCGTTAGGGCAACAAATGCTAGCTAGTTTTTTAGGTGTCTTACCTATCCTCACCCCTTGTGCTCTATCTATGTACTCAAGTCCAATCCCCTTGTTGTGTTTGCCCTTAATCTAATGTCCACATATGAGGGAGAACATACGACTTTTGGTCTTTCAGGCCAGGCTAACCTCACTCAGAATGATGTTCTCCAATTCCATCCATTTACCAGCAAATGACAACATTTCGTTTTTCTTCATGGCTGCATAAAATTCCATTGTGTATAAATACCACATTTTCTTGATCCATTCGTCAGTAGTGGGGCATCTTGGCTGTTTCCATACCTTAGCTATTGTGAATAATGCTGCAATAAACATGGGTGTGCAGGTGCCTTTATTGTAACCCAACTTACATTCCTTTGGGTATATCTCTAGGAGTGGAATTGCTGGATCATATGGCAGTTCTATTTTTAGTTTTTGAGGAGTCTCCATGGAGTTTTCCACAGTGGTTGTACTAATTACACTCCCACCAGCAGTGTATGGGGTTCTTTTTACCCCACATCCTCACCCACATTTGTTGCTGTTTGTTCTCTTGATGACAGTCTTTCTGTGAAGGATAGAGCTGCTCTGCCTTTCCCATCTCTGAATCAGGTCTTGGAGCTCAGTCTTGGCCATCCTGCATCTTTCTGTATTTTCAGCAGGGCTCACAAGCCCCTCACTGTTCTCACCTCTCCTATCCAATTTGTCTTTATGTGGTCACTTGAAAACTTGCTCTGTTTTCCTCATTCCAACTAACTTTAGGGTACAGATCCCACCTTGTAGCTACCTGTCCTTCTCGGGCCAGGGAGAGCTGGCTCCTACGTGAGAAATGTCCCCTTCCCAGCTCTGAATCCCGGCTCCAGTATCTCCACAGCAGAGCCTCACCTCCCTGTTTAGAGGTACACAGGATACCAGACTCCGTTCTCACCAGGGCTTCCACCAGGCAGGGATGGGAGTTGTTTTAATCTCAAAAGCACACAGAGAATTAGAGGTGAGAGGTGGAGTGTGGTGTGTGTATGTGTGTGAGACTCTCAGGGGTTCAGCCAGCTCATTCTCCCTTCTTCTGAAGGACGGGCCCTGAAGACTGTTGTCTCCTGTTTATGGTCAGGCAGATAAAACAGTAGAGGGCAGATGTCAGGCTTGGCAAAAAAGGGGTATTTTTTTGTGTTTTGGAGTGATGACCAGAGGACATTGCGCTGAGGTTCTTCAGTGAGCAGAGCTCCCATTTCCTCATGGAAGTTGAGGTAGTCATATAGTCTCTCTCCAGAATGAGGTGTTGTTCAGTGGCAGGAAGTCACCAAGCTTCTTATACCCCCAACCATATCACCTAAAATTTCCAGAATAGCTACCTCATGTGGTTGTAAAAGAAACCTGTTAGGTACTTGTCACCTAAGCTAGTTAGCATCTAGCCTCTGGCTATGGTACCCTCTACACCTGGTACCATGGTGAGGCATCTTTCATGGGATATGTAATAATGGCTGAGCCTCACTGCAGTCACATCGCAACCTCAGGAAGATGTCCAGTCTCCGGGCATGTGAAGTAGGCCTCCTCCTGGGTTGCAAGGCCTGGGAGGGCCCCGCCACAGCAAGCCGGACAGGGCCTCCCAACAGCCCATCACTGCATCTGGCTCTGGTGACTTTCATCAGTAGCTTCCAGCAGGGTACCGTTGAAACAGAACAGAAAGATATTTGCACTTATTGAATTCTTACATAACCATCGTTACAACTCTGTGAGCCGGGCACTCTTATCCCTGTATTATAGTTAAGGAAACTAATTCAGGGAATTTAAGAAATTTACTTAAATCCCAAGGCTGGTAAGTTCTCTTTCTTCCCTCAGTTAGGAAAATAATTCTGAGTTCTAATTAGGAACACAGAACTTAATGTTCAAGTCTTAGCACAAGGAATCCACAGTCTATTAAAAGAAAAAACAAAATCAAGATAATGTTCAAATAATGATCAATTAATTAAAAAAAAATCCAGATGTTATACTTAATGAAATGTAAGTGGTACAGGTGTGCAGGAAAGACATACTTTAGATGGTATAGCAGGTCTTATACTTTACTGTATCATGACAACCTCTAGTACCTTTTATTTTTCTTATAAACAACCTTTATTCAGCAAGTGTGTCTTGTGTCAGACCTGTTGCACCTGGTGTCTCATTTGATTTTCACAGTCAGCCTGTGAAGTCTGTATCATCGCCATAATACAGAGGAAAGATTAAATCTTCAATTGGATGAATAACTTGAGAAGGTCATTTGAAGGGGGGAAATATAAATGCTAAACCCTACCTAAAAGTCTTTTTTCTTGGTGTTCACTTTTTAATTTTTAAAAATTTTTGTGTGTGTTGTGGTACTGGGATTTGAACTCAGGGCTCTGAGCTTGCTAGGCAGGTGCTCTACCACTTGAGCCACACCTCCCAACCCTCACTTTTTTGAAGACTATAAACACACTACAGTGTTGTAAAATTGTTCCACAGAGAGGAGCTGAAACTTGTGACCATAAAATTTTCTACATTAAAATGCTTTTATCTATGGACTGTTCTAGTTTAAAAAAGAAAGAAGGAAGGAAGGAAAGAGAGAAGGAAAGAAGGAAAGGAATACAGAGAAAGAAAGAAGCTCCAGTCTCATTCTCTCTGTTCTAACCACTTTCATTTACCTCAAGGCTTTATTGGTCCTCTGGAATCCACAGCGTGGATGTCTGCCAGATTCTTGTCTTTGGTTTTTCCTCTCAGGTACGTCGTAGCACACTGTCAGCATAACCAGCAAAGGTATGAGTCCCCAGGCCAGCACAGGGTGGCACAGCAAGCCCTTTGCAAATGTGTTGAACCATAATGAATCGAGTCCTGAGCTTTCCAGCTATTCTTCAGTGGCTCAGTGGAGTTGCTTCAGAGGTCCCTGCAGGAGGAGGACAGTGTGGCCACTCAGGGTCTGGGAGCCTGGCCTGCAGGTCACCTCCAGTGAGGCATCTGAGTTTTTGGGGTTGTGATGCAGGGGAGCAGCAATGTTGGCCTCTGTCACCCTCCTCAGTTTGTGGACTTTCTAGAAATGGGAACCAGAGTCTAAGTGCCAGTTTTTTCTGCAGCTCTTAATACAAGTTTCAGTTGCACTTTCCAATCCACAAGTTGGGGTGGAACATTAGAATCGCTTCCAAGAGTCTCTTCTTGCTGAAATCAGGGTGGCTTTTTAAAACCAACTTTTAGCCACGTTTTCCTTATGTTCCAAAAGTTTCTACCTTCTCATGAAACCTGTTTATCTGGCTTTAAAGGCAGATGTGCTCAAGCCACTAGCCAAGCACAATACTCACACCTGCAATCCCAGGTACTCAGAAGGTGAAGCTCTGGAGAATCACAGTTAGAGGCCACTCTGAGCAAAAAGTTAGCAAGACTCCATCTCCACCAACAAACTTGGCATGGTGAGCCAACCGCATGGGAGGAGTACTTAGGAAGATCTTAGTCTGAGGCCAGCCCCAGGCAAAAATTTGAGACCCTACCTGAAAAATAACTAAAGCAAAAAAAGGCCTAGGAGCCTGCCTAGCTTTGAGTTCAAAACCCAGTACCGCTAGAAAAAAACAAACAAAATTTCAGCTGCTGGAAGGACCACTTCTGCTTTCTCAGGAGCAGGAAGGGTACCAGCACTTAATCTCCATATCTGGTGCCAACCTGTCCCAGATCGTCCCGGAATGTGCTTAAAATGCAGCAGTCAGACAGATGCTCGGGCTGTGTGCTCTGTCCTAGACAGGACCGATAGAATTTGTGCACAGGTACGGATGTAAGTACACAGGCTCCAAACTCCATCCTGTTACTGTCTACAGTGTCCAGCTCCCTGTCAGCCCTCGAGGGAGGACCTGTGCTGTGCTCAGCAGTGCCTGACTTCTGGACACCCAACCTGTACTGTTGAACAGAACTGCTGACAGTCTTGTATTAAATCTCCTATAGTCTACAAGGGACCTACGAATAAGATTATAGGATTATAAAGGATTAAGATTCAGATGACAAGATTACTGGGGGTTATTTTTAATGGCTACAGTTTCCATTGTGCAAGATGGAAAAAATTCTGGGGTTGGATGATGGTAACAGTGTCCCAACAATGTGAATGTGACTAATGTCACTGAACTGCATGCTTAAAAATGGTCCAAATTGTGAGATTGTATGTGATATGTATTTCACCACAATTTAAAAATGATTTGCAGGACCTGGATAAGCTATTTCTTTTCATATTGATATACTTGGTCCAAAATACAACTCCCAACATGTGTCACTTAGTCCATCAGTTGCAAATAATTTGTGTTCCTTTTTCACAAATGTTCCTGTATATATAAAGTGTGAGTATGTGTGTGTGACTGTACCAACAATCTAATTCAGGAATACAGACTTATACAAAGAAACATGCGAGACTTAATATGCAATAAAATGTACAAGACAATAAATTAGGTGTGAAGTGAACATGTAAACAGGAAATGCTTGGACATTTAAAATACTGGATCAGGTCAGGCATAGTGGTACACATCTGTAATCCCAGCTACTCAGAGATGGAGATTGGGAGGATCGAGGTTTAGGACAATTTGGCAAAAAAGTTAATGAGACTCCATCTCAACAAAGAAATCAGGCATGTTGGTACATTTCTGTAATTCCAGGTATTCTGGAGGCAAAGGTATGAGAATAAAGGTCCAGGCCAGCAAGACCCTATCTGAAAAATAACTAAAGCAAAAAAGGGTTGGGGAGTGGCTCAAGTGCTAGCGCACCTGCTTCACAAGCTTGCGGCCCTGAATACAAACCCCAGTATACTGCAAAAACAAACAAATACATAAATAAGAAAAATAAAGTACTGGATTAACTTGTCATTCATTTTACATCTAGAATAACATCTTCAAACATAAAGGAAAAGGATTGATTTTCAAGTGGGTTTTCACTTAGGGTCAGCTGTATGAATCCCCAGTTTCCAAGGACAGGAAGTGGTTGGTGGCTTGAGTTTGATCTGTGTAGCCCTGGAAGTCCTCCAGGTGTTTGCTCACTGGATCGTGGCCTGGTTTTTGCTCTGGACCTTCACTTCCCGGAAGGGGCTGAGCAGATGGTTACTGGGCATCTCTCCTTTCCAGGATAAAGGCAAGTGGCAGCCTGCTGCTCACCAGGCGAATCGAAGACCTGTGGGAGCTTCAGCCTGCCTTTGATGTCGTGGTCAACTGCTCAGGCCTGGGAAGCCGGCAGCTTGCCGGAGATCCCGCCATTTCTCCAGTCAGGGGACAAGTGCTGCAAGTGCGGGCCCCCTGGGTGAAGCATTTCATCCGGGATGGGAGTGGGCTGACCTACATTTACCCTGGTGTGTCCCATGTAACCCTGGGTGGAACGAGGCAAGAGGGAGACTGGAGTCTGTCCCCAGATGCAGAGATCAGCAGAGGGATTCTGTCCCGATGCTGCGCCCTGGAGCCCTCCCTCCACAGGGCCTGCGACATCAAGGAGAAGGTGGGCTTGAGGCCTGGCAGGCCGAGCGTGAGGCTGCAGAAGGAGCTCCTGGTCCGAGGGGGACAGAGGCTGCCTGTGGTCCACAACTATGGCCACGGGAGCGGGGGTGTCTCAGTGCACTGGGGCTCTGCGCTGGAAGCCACCAGGCTGGTGAGTGAGTGTGTCCAGGACCTCAGGACCCCTGCCCCTGCCTCAAAGCTGTAACTGACATGAAATGAGCAAAGCCCAATGTAAGGCCCAGAACAGGTGTAAATCACCTTTATATCACAGGAGATGTTTAATTAGACATTTTTTTGGGTTTGTTTTCAAAATTAGAAGTGATACAACATAAATCAGTAGACTTAGGAAGTCTACCACCAATGACATAGGACATAAAACTTCATTTTGTTAAAAACATGCAATATAGGGTAAGATTTCTTTTGGATCTGGTGCCTAAGGATCTATGCTAATTTATGTGAATGGAATTGTGATAAAATCATGATATTGAAATCAAGATTTTGATGTCCGTTGGCTCCTGAATCCACAGGAGGAGATAATGCAGAGAAACACTAAAATCACTGTCCGTTGTAGACAGGATCCTCTTAGGTTATAGCCAAGTGAGTATTTTAATCCCACTAAATAAAATCACGTGGGAATCACATGATGCAGACTTCTTATATTTAATTGAAGACAAAACATGATTGCTGCTAGTTCTGGTGGCAGTTTCTTTGTCCCCTCAGTTGGTTAATAATGGTGGAACTTGGTGTGAAGTTGCCTATGGATGTGGTACCAATTCTGTAGCTGCTGGGGTCTGTCACTGTGTTAGTTGTACTGTCACTGTGACCAAATACCAACAGAAACAATGCAAGGGAAGAAGGATTTATGGCATGGCAGATCAAAGCAGTTCAATCATGGCAGTTAGAAAGCAGAGCAGAGCAAGGGGCCAGGGAAAAATAGAGCCCCCCCAAGCTCACTCTCCTAGTGACCTACTTCTTCCAACCAGGCTCCACCTTCTACAATTCCACCACCTCCCAGGGCTCTGTTCAGATTTTGAATCCATCAATGGATTAAACCATTCATTGGGTCAGAGCTGTCATGATCTAAAGCTTTCTGGAAACACCTTCATCTCATGGACATACCCAGAGGTGTGATTTACTAATCTCCTAGGTCTTTCTCCATCCAATCAAGTTGACAATCAAGATTAACCATCACAGTCACCTAAGTCTTGCATATTTCATTACCACAAATGATTGAGAACTGGCTTATTGCATTTGCCTAAGCATTTTTGAAGATCGAATAGCATATGCAGCCAAAGGGCTAATTCGCTAATTGGAACGGCACAATCATTCTGAATGAAATATATAACCCAAAAGTATGCTGCAGGTTGTTAAAGGGCATTGGGGGAGGAGAACATGTCCCATGAGTTTGCAAATTGCTGAGTTAAATAAATTTGACCTGGTTTCCTGACTCAGGTCTAGCTTACCTATGTGTATTGTGAGTCCTCAGGAGGGTTTTTGGCCAGAGTAATTGGGAAAGGAGGTGCTATTCACTAAGGTAAGGGAGCTTGGGGAAAAAATTTAATTTTAATTTTGGGGGAGAGATGAGTTATGTTTGGTGATAATAAATTCTATTTTGGACATCCCCAGGGAGATGTGGGGCTGACAATGAAAATGTGAGAAAGAGGAAGCTCCCATCATGGCTCCATTTTTACTGCTTTGTTCCTTGAGCTTTTGCATATGATTTTGTTGGAAGAGAACATTCTGCGGGAGGCAGAGAGGCATCCTTGTTTTAAATGATCTGTTAAAATTTGCAAGTTAAATCAAGCTTGGGATCTCTTCTATAGATCGCCACCAGGGGGTGGTGGTGTTTCAAACTCAGGTAAACCCATACATTTGAAAATCTACAAATGACCAGAAATAAAAAATAGATACTAAGTGTGGGGAGTGTGTGCGTGACTTCTGTGAGGCTTTACTCTGAATTGTAGTTAAAGTACATGAGGAATGGCTGCATTACGTGATTGAAAATACATGTTTCACACACAATTTATGAGAAATAATGTTATAGTAAGCCAGCATTTTAAAAGGAGGACTTTTTGTTTTTCACGGTTGAAAACAAAAATGAAGGCTGCCACTCAGCATGGGTAGTATTTTCTTGTTGCCCAGCAGTGTAGACACTACTGCATTCTCTCGTTGTGTAGTTAGGCTCACCGGCTAACCTTCACCTATTTGCCACTTTAGTTTAGCTTCACTCTGTATTTTATATTTCTAAAACTCAACATTATAAGATGAAAGATTGGAGGCTTTCTGGCTGCCTGCCCTGATTTCATTCTCACTAATTGCTAAATATTTGCTCCCTGTGTCTCTCAAAGGTTTTTCATTTTGGTTGTTAGCTGGCAATCTGGCTATATCTTAGAATCTGTATGGGAAGTTTGAAGAAATCCTTGTGCCAACCCTGCATTATTAAATCCATGCTTTGGGGAGTAGGGTGGAGCTGCACCGTGAGTATTTGTTCAAAGCTGTCCCCAGGGCAGCTAAGGGTGACCTTAGCTGTTTCTCCCTCTTCTCCACTGCTGCCATAACCAGTAGCCTTCCCTTCCACCCTTCTGTCTTGGCACACTGAGCTCCCAGGGATATGCTCACAGGTATGTTAATAGGCGCTCTGGGCAAGATGGCCTGTGGGAATTAGCCATCTCTTAAAGTGGTTCTCTGGAAATGCAGGCTGAAGGTCAGCTGCAGAGAGATAGCTATCTGTCTGTTTGAAAGATGAGATAGAATATGCAAACCAATAATGTCCAGACCATAAATGAAAACAGAGCTCTGACCCACAGTCTCCTGCCCAGGAATCCAATCCCCTAACCTACAGTAAATAGCTGAGGAAACTGTGTGTCAGATTTGCAAGGCATGAGAGGGCTGTCTTTAGTGACAATCCAGGAAGCTAAACAGTAATTTCTGCTACAAGTGACATAGAGTGGCCAGGATATGATGAATAACTAATAGCTTCCTTAATTTTTGTTCCCCCTTCTAACTTAGGACCAGCCAGAGGAAGCAAAATATGAACCCTAACCAGTGAGCTAGAATGCCTTGCTTCCAGTTAACCCGCTGACTGTTCTGCCACACTAACGGTCTCCAGTCAGTGCACCTCTGAAGTCTGTCCTCTTTTCTACTCTACAGCTTTCTCACTCTTCTACCTACCTTTGAGTTTGTGCCAAATACAAGTGTTGGGGGCTGACTCCTGCAGCTAGTGCTGAAGAAATGCCTTCACTTTTCTCACTTGCCAGTGTGTTAGCGTTCACCAGAGAAACAAAACCAATATATAGATATATAGAAATTGTGAGGGGTTGGGTCCCATGATTATGGAGACTGAACAGTTCCAGGATCTGCTGTCTGCAAGATGGCAGCCCAGGTAAGTTCCAGTCCCAGCCAATGTCCCAGAGGAGTGTGAAGGTCAGGAGTGTTGGGGCAGAAGAAGATGATGTGTCCCTGCTCAAGAAGAGAGCAAATTCAGCCTCCCTTACCTTTTCATTCCATTCAGGCCCTCACGACTGGCCAATGCCCACCATATCTGTGAGGACAATCTTCTGATCCCAGCCTACTAATGTTTTTCAGAGACCTCCTCACAGCCACAGCCTCAAATAACACATAAGCTATCTGGGCACCCCTTAGCCCAGTAAAGTCCACACATAAAACTAGCCATCACAACTGGTCGTTCTTTATTTCCACAAAGACTTCATGCATATTTAAGTCGAAGTCTTTCTTGGGGATCTGTGCTTCTGCCTGAGAGTGAACTATCTTTTCCCCCTGGTTTTCTTTTTCAGAACTATTTTTTTTCTGAACATAAGAGCAACCGATTTCTTTCAAGTGTGTGACCTTTATGGTGGTGTGGCTGCTAAGCTGTAACCCAGGGGAACAGGGTTTCTTTGAGGCACTGTCATTGCCAGCATGGGGCTTCTTCTGCAGACAGAAAAGTTTGTGCAACAAACTTTTAGGGTTTTATTCGCTTAGGAAAGAAGATGAACAGAAATGCCATCGCTTGTTGTATGCAGTTGTGTAGAAGATAAGCTATTTTTAAAAATGACACATATTTCTTTTATGGACTGTATGCATTCAAATCAATTGCTATTTGAGCCAATTTTTCTCAATCAATTAAGAGCTTTGAGAGAGAAAGAAGGAAAAGATGATGGGACTTGTGCCAGGTGGGAGCTGTACTTCTCGGAAACCTGTTCCAGGACTCTCCTAACTTGTCAAATATTTGACAATATTTGATTCTTTTCATACTTCTTCTTGAAGGTGTGAAGGATGGCTACACATTTGAAATCTGTTTCTTCTGGATATCATTCACTGGAGGAAAGTCCAGAGAGATGTTTAAATGGTGCCTTTCTTCTTGAAAAATCTCTGCAGTTTGCTAGCAGGCCTAGGGGCTTTATTATCCTGAGTGACTTTGCTGCCTATAAATCACAGCCCTAAGTAGCTAAAGGGAATGAGTTAACCAGGTCTCTTTAAAGTATAACTAATGTTTCTTCAATTATTCGCAGAACAATTGAGTTCTGTCTGCTCAGGACACCTGCCCACCTGGCCCAGAGCCATGTTGCTCACCATCCCAACTGCCAGAGCCCGTTGCCCTTCAGTTATAATTTTTACCCTGGTGCATGTTGTACGGTATCTGCCCAACCCCCAACTTTTCAAAGATATTGGTATTTCTCATCCATAAAGACCAAGGTCACTGAGCTACGGAGCTTAGCTGTTGTGGTGGCTACTCCAAATGGCCTCACTGCTTTGCCCAGGCCCCTTTCCCGGACCCTTGCTCAGATTTGGAGGGTTTACTACATGGATCATGTGTCCTGTGACCTGGCTCTCTCTGGTCACAGACAACTACCAGTAAGGTTTAAGTTTGGTTGCAAGTAACAGAAGCCCTCCAAGTACTTGCTTAAATAAGACAGGCACTTCTCTCTTGTGTGGGCTGGAGGAGGGCTCAAGTGGTGAGAGGGCCTGCCTAGCAAGCTCAAAACCCCGGTGCTGCTAAAAAAAAAAAAAAAGAAGAAGAAGAAGCCTGAGTGTAGGCAGTCTAGGGCTGGTATGGGGGATTCCATGGTCACTGGGACCCAGGCTCCTTCCTGCTCATACTCTGCTGTCTCAAGGATGTGCCCCTTTTCCTCATGGTTTAAGATGACAGTAGAAGCTCTGGCCATCACATTATCGCATCCACCCCTCCAACCCCTCAAGGAAACATTGGCTTCTGTATCACCACATAGATTTAGCCTCGGGGTTACAACTGAGATTCAAAGAGAGGTGGGAATGTAGCCTTTTGGCTGGGTAGCAGTGTAAAGGTCAAGCTTCTAGCTCTGCTGAAAGTATCACACTATAAACCAGCCAGATTAAGAATTTGTACTAAGGACCTCTGCAATGATTTTCTGATGATGGCAGGCCCTATGGATGTGTAGACTGCAGTTAACTGTCTGGGTTGTTCAGGTTCATATGGAGGAAACAAGGCAAGAGAGAGGAAGCAGAGAAAAGTAGAGACAGAAGTCCAACAAGGGGTTACATATGTCTGGAACTATCAAGAACAGACTCATGTTCTCACCCAGCCCTACTTCTCCAGACAGCCAAGTCTGAATTCCTTAGAAACTTCACATTAAAAAGAGATACATTATTAAAAAAACTATTTTC